GTGAGAGGAAGACCCACCCTAGTGAATAGGCTTCTGGGTAGAGGTCTGCTATGCAGTCTTAAAGTGACGATCTCCGTTCCTCTAGTGCGCTCCCTGATCGGAGTTATGTTGCCTCCTTTTGACCTTCAACCACAACATCACTCTTAAATGTTAGCAGACCAACTTCTTCGATCAGACTGCCCAGGAAAACACGCTAAGGGGAGTTTCTTCGGCCGGCTTAATGACTACCGCACAGCCTCAGCACAGGGCTGGTGCCAACTTGGGCGCATTCAAACGGTCACGTGGTTACAGTTCTCGGTCTGCCTCTGGGACAACCAATCACAGGTGCCTCAAACTGCTTTTGGTCAAGCAACAGATCAAGCAGCTAGTGGCCGACTGTCGCATGACGTTTACGAATTCACGCCCACACCACGCTAACAGACAAACGCGCGTGCAAGCCCCTGAGCTGACCGCGCATCAGGGCTTCAGCCTACCACTGAGTTTCTTTACACAATAGACAACGCCTACTGGTCTTTCCCCTCTATCTCTCTCCTTATACGGACCCAGGCGTGATAACTGTAGTACTCTGAGCACAACTACGACATAGACCCTCTAAATAGCTCTTAAAAGTTAAATGTTAGCATACATTCAGGTAAAGGAAAATGGAAAAAAAAGGCGCAACGGCACATACCGACTTTTTTGATCAGACCGCCCAAGAAGAGGGCGCTGAGGGGAGTTTCCTCGGCCGGCTTGACAACTACCGTACAGCCGCAGCAGAGGGCCGGTGCTAGCTTGATGGCGATTATGTCGAGGGGATAGTTCCAGGGAATAATGGCCCCCACGACCCCAACGGGTTCGTGTCTAGTCCAGCAGACAACGTCGCCGTCAGCAGGGATAACCTTGCCATGCAGTTTGTCCGCAAAACCCGCAAAGTAGCGGAACGTGCGAACGGCAAATTCAATGTCACCGCGAGCAGAGTCGAGCGGTTTTCCGGAATCCATTGCCTCCAGTTTCTGGAGGAGGAGGAGGAGGAGGAGGAGGAGA